TGTGTTTTCAGTTTCTACAAGTCAAGCTGTTAAATATTTGCCAGATAAGAGAAACACAGACATGAATGCATGTTTCAGGTGACGGCTCAGGCGACCTGCATCACGCTGTCGGCCATGAGCGTGGACCGCTGCTACGTCACCGTCTATCCTCTGCAGTCGCTGCGACGCCGAACCCCCCGCATGGCTCTGGCCGTGTCCGTGTCCATCTGGATCGGTACCACACTCCTCTACAGCTGTGTTATGACAGTGCAGTTAGAAAACTTGAGGCAGAAGCATGTTGATCATACATACAGGCCTTTATGTTTACTCTGTGGGCTTTTAAATCTTGTTCATCGTCACCAGATCAGAGCAGAAGAAGTGAAACCAGGTGTTGAAACCCTAAAACAAGAGTTTTATCTCTGTCCCTTGTCCTCTCCAGGCTCCCTGCTTCTCTCCATCCCCGTCGCCGTCTACCAGCGTCTGGAGGCCGGGTACTGGTTCGGTCCTCAGACCTACTGCAGCGAGGTGTTCCCCTCAGCTCGCCTCCAGAGAGCCTTCATCATCTACAGCTTCCTGGCCGTCTACCTGCTGCCTCTGCTCACCATCACCGCCTGCTACGCCTTCATGCTCAAGCGCATGGGCCAGTCCAGTGTGAATCCCATCGACAGCAGCTACCAGGTAAGAGAAGAGCCCTCGTTTCAAACCCATGACCTGCTTCTAACGACTACAGAGACATGACGAAGCCTCCCTGGTTCACAGCTCCAGGCTCAGGCAGAGCGAGCAGCGGCGGTGAGGGCCAGAGTGTCCCGCATGGTGGTGGTGATGGTGGTCCTGTTCCTCATCTGCTGGGGGCCCATCCAGGTGTGCATCCTCCTGCAAGCGTTCGGCCTCCGTAGCTACATCCTGTACAAGGTGACTCGCTTTAAATCATCCTCACTGTGCGAGTGTGCAGGTAGGTAGCAGGAGGTCAGGTGAATGCAGGGATGTCTGTTTAAAATGCAGAACTTTTGCAGTAATATTCACGTCTCAGAGTCGAATCCAAACACATCATAAGAACCTTGTTTGTAGTGATGTTAGAATCTCTGATAATCCATTAAAGACAAATACATCTTCATAAATCATTTCAAATGATGTGAAAACAACACGGATATCAGATTTCTTCTTGCTTCATAATGACGGATTGAGACATTTTCTGCAGCGTCAGTGTCGTCCAGGTGATTGAATCGTCTGTTTTAGGTTACAGAACAGCAGAACTTCATATAATGCAGAATGGAAATAAGTTGTAGGCACTCAGATTATCACCAGAATTACTTTACTACAGAATAAACCTCATGATCGGTTAATGCATCCTAACTTTGTGCTAAATGACAGAGGATGGAGTACTGGAATACTGAAAGCAATATTTTTTTTATAATCAGGACTTCTCCACCTTGTCCCAGGAGCTGCTACAAACATTTTTCCATCAGTGTATTTCCCATTTTTGACATTACAGACACCAGCTTTAGCCTCATGCTGCTCGTCTCCTGTTATATATCAACACAACCAAGTTTATAAAATTCTAAAACATGGACTTCCTGGATTCAGTTTAGGCTGAACGAGGAGTTTAAATATATTTTATTATCAGATTAGTTCAGATAAGTTGTTCAAATATGACGTTTTTCTGTTATTTGGCAGTAGAAAACAATTTAAGACAGAAAATCGAACAATAAAAGTGCAGCTTCAGTGTGGCTCTTGTGGCGACAGAACCTCCAGATGTCTTCCATCTAAACCCGCCTTCATCTTGCATCCACAGCTGAAGATCTGGGGCCACTGCATGTCCTACTCCAACTCCTCCGTCAACCCGCTGGTCTACGCCTTCATGGGCAACAACTTCAGGAAGGCCTTCAGGAACGCCTTCCCCGCCGTGGTCCTGTGGCGCACCAGGGGCAGGGTCAGGGTGGGAAACCTGGACGCCGAGGACGGGGGGGAGGCGGATCAGCGGGTCGGGGCACCCAAAGGAGAAGAAGAGATGCACTTCCTTTCATCCGGCTCCTAAAGGCCACGCCGGGCACTCGGACGCCGGGCGCTCATCGTTTATTTATGGTCCGTCGTGGAGATGAGAGGAGTCGACTCGCCGCGAGATGAACAAACACACGGTTGTGTTTCTGTGGCTTCAGAGGAAACCACGATGACCTACATTCATTTCCTGGAGACCTGCTCTAACTCTGACCATAACTAGACTGTCCTGACCCTGACCCTGACCTTTACCTAAACCTAACCCTAAAACAGGCCTCATTGAAATCATCTAAATCAGTGGTTCTAAAACTTTTTGAGCCACGACCCCCAAGATAACCAAAGTTTGTGTTCCCCAATTTGAATTCTTAATATATCATGAGTAATAACTTTCATACATTAATGCGTTAAAAATTAATGTGTTAATTTCACAGATTCATCTCTTTACATTAACACATTCATTTTCTTTTGAATGAATGAATGAATTGAGTTTATTTCGAACAAATGAAAGGGAAAAAAAACATAAAAACAAAAGAAAAGAATTTTAAAAAGAGCAAAAAAGAATAATAATATGGCATAATCAAATCATAATATGAACAAGTCCAAAAAAGGAGTGGGAAAAAGTAAACACTTGTAATTTTGACAGGCCTAAAACAAATTTATCTGATTAATGAAGGCTTTATTTTTTATTTCTTTTTTTTTTTTTTACAGTGATGTGGCGACCCCCTGAAATTATCTTGGGACCCCCTAAATGACAGAGACGTGTTCCTGTCCCCATACTGTAGCTGTATTAGTGAGTGAACAGATGTAGGTCACCACAACATGAACTGTATCCGCCCACAAACACACACACTGTGTTCTGATTCCTTCCATGTGACCTCTTAAAAAGAACAAACCAGTCAGGTGCCTCTCGTGACCTTCACGAGCTGCTGAGATGTAATTACGTTTGTCACATTTTTCTAGTTTTGGTGGAGCGATGCGCTCAGTTTGTCGGGTTGAGCTCCTGGTTTTAACGTCTTCACAATGTCTGGTGAAGGAAACTGTACATCCATGAACAGTAGCATCACAAAGTGTAGTTATTTAAAGACCAGCGGCTGTAAAGATCTAGTTGTTAGCATATCCAGATGGTGGTTTTTATATGGCAGAAGACATATCATGAGTGAAGTAAGCAGTCAGTGCCATTAATTTCCACCTTAAAACTACCGATGACAGGCTCAAAAACTCTGGATTAGATTTCTGGGGAACCAGTCTAGTTATTTTGCAGGGATTATTTTCATGGGAAACTCTTCTAAATATGTAACTCTGATGCACAGAGATGAGTTTTTAAGGGTTTAATCAATGACAGAACATGTTAAAGGCAGGACTGGGGTTAAACTGAACAGCTTCTGTGACTGTTTTTAGAGGTTCACTCACTTTGATCTGCTTTTTCTTACGTGTTCACTCTAATAAGTGGATCCTTGTCTTGTTTCTGTCTGTAGCGTCGCTCCTCTAACTGTCTACGTCTGAGTAGCTTGAACAGATGTTGACCAGCTTCATATAACACTCCAGTGTGACCACCTTTGACTATGTCGTGTAATTTATTTCCTGATTTAGGTTCACACTGTCCTGAAAACAAGCACAACAGGAGGACGCTGCATTTTTAAGCCGGACACGAGCTTCATCTGCACACTGTTGTAGGCAAATGTACTTTTGCACGATGTTAATGTGTGCAGTTAGCAGATGGCAGGTTGCATTTACACAAAGAATATATACAAGGAGTCGGAAAATAGAAAGATCTGAATCAGAATTAACTTTATTGACCAAGTTTGTACAAGCAAACAAGGAAGCTGACTCTCTGTATGTATTAGTAATAATAAGTAATAAAAGAAATAAACTAGAACAATAAAAATACGAGTAAGAGCAATAATTAGCCGTATCTATGATATGTGTACAAAGCAGCAGGATTACTGAGGAAGGTGTGGTGACATTAAAAGTAGTACAAGTATGAGTGGGTGAGGCCGATTGCATCGTAGCTCCTGAGACTAGTGAGAGTTCATCAGGGTCACAGCCTGAGGCCAGAACCTGTCTGTGATTTAGATGCTCTGTAGCGCCTACCGCTGTAAGATATGAAGTAGAGAGAGTGCTAAATTACAAAGATGAATCAATAAAAGAATAATAAAATAAAAGTTGAAATAAAAAGAAAAATAAATAAAATAACAAAAAATAATAATTTGCTTATTTATTTTTTTAATTTTAAATTTATATTTGTTTATTTATCATTTTTATCTTTTTAAAAAAGTTTTAATTTATTAATTTTTTGTTAATTATTTTAATTTTTAATGTTTTTAATTTATAATTTATAACATCGCTGTAAAACCAAAGCAAATATGTGCAGAAAAATGTGCGCTGGAGGAATGTGGTTGTGTCTTTGCTTTTAAAGTGACATTATAAAAAAATAAAATAAAAACGAAAAAATAATTTAAAAAAACTAAAAATAATAAAAACTAACTTAAAAATAATAAAAAGAATTAACAAATAATTTTAAAAAATATACTTTTTAATTATTTTATTTGTCTTTACATTTCTGCTTCTTCTCTCTCAAATCCTGTACTTTTACACGACACTTGTTTTTTATACTTATTTATCACTGCACCACTGGATTAGTGCTGATGGAGAACACGTGATGGACCAAAGGTTGCTGCTGTTTGATATTAACTAAATTAGTTGGAAGAGATGACAAGTTTTAATTTTGAACAGTGGAGACGCCATAAAACACAGTCATGCAGAACAGAACATGGATCTGCAGCAGCACCTTCAGTTTACTTCATCTATTTAATTATAAAGAGCTTAATTAACCATCCTTCATTATTCTGTGCTGTGTGATTCTATCAGGTGAGAATCAGAAGCGCTCTGAAGCTTCCTGCTCTTTTCCGCGCTCTGCTTTCAGTGGCGTGACAGAGCAGCCAATCAGCGCAGCCCTACGTCGACGTTCACCAATCACAGCCGTTCAGTGAGCAGACACGTGACACTGGCCAATGGGATGACTGGCTGAGACTGGTGCTGCCTTCAGGTGACAACAAATATGTCCGTTTTTTGAATAAATACAGCAGAACGCCTCACATGGATCCAAAATACGGTAAGTCCGGCAGTTTTATAAATACAATAATTTAACTAACGTGAGTCCTGCATGATCTAAATCATCTGGTTTTGCAGGAAAAATGCCACAAAAACCAAATAAACTTGATTAAATATGGGACAGAATCACTTTGCTGGATGAGCCACAAACTTTGTTCTGTGTAAAAACGTTGATATGAGACTAAATCATTCATTTATTTCACAGTGACAGAGTTTTTTTTATGACAAATATCCTTCTTTTTGTTCCTGTTTTTCATCTCAAAGGGGGAACGTTGGTCTGTAAGTGTGAAAGATATCCAGATAATGTCACTAAACTCAGACAGTCAGATTCCAGAGAGCGGATCTTTGAACAGCCAGTCTGAGGTGGAGAACGTGAGCTTCCTGAACTTATGCACTCCAGCATCCGACCACATCGACCCAGCTGCTGTGACCCGTGTATGGTGTGTTCATGGAGGCTTATCATGTAGCCGGTGTCGTGTTTATCTCTGTTTTAGCGTCTATAGTTTCCAACTTTGTACTGAACCGGATCACCTGGACACCCTGATCGGGACATGTTTCCTTCCTCTGTGTGAACATCTGGACAGTAAACCTGATTCTGTCTGTGACCTGTGACCTTCTGCTCGTGATGTGCTTTCAATAAATCGTGCAAAACATTTGTCCATTTTCTTCAGGAATCTTTATTCGATTTCCCATGAATGAGAATTAACCCTCACTATTAAATCAGCCAGGTAATTTATTATAACATATATCGGTTCTTAATCTCACTATTTTTATTTAATCAGTTGCATTTTTACAATATACATCAGTGTAGGGTCTTAATATCTAAATGTGTCAGGCAGATTTATATCATATATAATATTTTATGGGCTAAACAGAAAAAATTAAATGACTTCTGATAAATTAATAGTTTAATTAATCAGTTAAATTTGTATTTTATATGATTTCATAGCATCTTAACCTTTAAATTAGTCGGATACATTAGATTCCTCATTTTAATATCTAAATTTCTCAGATAAATTTGTATTATACGTATATTATTGTAGCCATAATGTTTAAATTGGTCACATTTTTATTTCATATGATATAAACAGTCATATTTAAATACAATATAATGTAAAATATTGTGGGATCTTAATCTAATAAATCTAATAAATAATAATTAAGGGTCTTTACCTTAATATTTATATGGATCAGGTAGATTTGTATAATAAGCAGGGTTTTAACCTTAATACTTAAATTGCTCGGTTAAGTTTGCAGAAGAAATAAAAATCATTTCAGGGTCTTTATCATAACATTTAAATGTGTTGGGTAAGTTTTTAACACCAGCCTCATGTATCTGTTGCTTTAAACCAGTGACCTGACTTGACTTGTCTTCTGTAAGTAACGAGCTTCCGGAGGAGTCCGTGAACGCATCACTTCGCAGGCAGATGTCATCCACGCCGCCGCGCGCAGCAGAGCCGAGCTGAAGGCGAACCATCCACACCAGAACCCGACCGCACCGACTAGACACCCACCAGCTGGACCACACCATCTCCGCGCGTCATGGATCAGAAACAGACCATCAACTTTGGCGCAGGACCCGCGAAACTGCCGCAAACCGTGAGTGTGCACGAGCTTAAAATCTGCAGGAAAAAGAGCAGCTAATTGCAAAGTGCCGCAAAGCTAAATGACAGTTTGATGCAGCTTTAGTTTGCACACTGTTGGACTTTCTGGTGGTTGGTTTTAGAATCCAGAACTCAGCCTCCACTGTGGGTCTGGGTTCTGCAGGCGGCTCTGTGGGAACCAGAGTCCCGGTTCGGGTCTTGGCATCAGCGAGCAGCTCCAGCAGGATGAAAACGGTGCGTTGAGTTGCATCAGCCGGAGTCGTTCATGTGCAAACCTGCTGCTCGGTGCCTCCCTGGAGGCAGCAGCAGGGGCAGGTTGGACCTCTAGGGGGCAGAAAAGCTGCTCATCAGGGCATCAAATCAAAGTTCACTGACTGGACCTGGTGAAGGTTCTGTGGTTCCTCCTCCTGCTGAGGGATTCGTAGTTCAACCCTTTGCATTAAACAACTTTAAGGATTTTATTGCATTTTAGTTTTTCCAGGGAAATAAAGATTTTCAGCTCCGAGGACAAACTGTCCCCTGAGTGATGGTTGGTTGGAGTTTTTGTTAAAAAAAAAAAAAAAAAAAAAAAGTATGTTTAATGAGAACAGTCGACTAAGTAGAGACTGAAGTATTTCAACAAACAAAAAGGGAAATTTAACATAAAAACTGGTGAACTTATCTCCTCCATAGACACTGACAGTCAAACCCACGATTGCTATTGCTATTCAAGTTTTGGATCAAGTTTTCAAAATGCCTTTCTTTTTTTTCCCCATTTTGTGCCTCATTTTCTAAATTGGAGCCTGATCAATGTATGGGTTCGCTAATGTCATCAGCTGATATACATTCTGTACAATATGTACCAATATAAAAACTTGTTTTCTTGCACAGAAGATAATAAAAAAGAATTGCCTGGGCTAATTTGTAAATGGTGCCGTCACACAGTTTGTCCAGGAAAGCGACTTTACTGCCCGTCTGCAGCACATGCAGCAGAGGACGGTGCGGAGTCAAGTGGTGTCTTCACAGTAAGCTGCCAAATAGTTTGTGAAATCCTTATTACTTGGCTGATATAGGGGCTGCACGGTGTCTCTGTGGTTAGCACTGTTGCCTCACAGCTAGAAGGTCGCCGGTTCGCGTCCCGGTGAGGACACCCGGGATCTTCCTGCGTGGAGTCTCCATGTTCTCCCCGTGCAGCGTGGGTTCTCTCCGGGTTCTCCGGCTTCCTCCCACAGTCCAGAAACATGCTGAGGTTAATTGGTGATTGTAAATTGTCCGTAGGTGTGAATGTGAGTGTGCTTGATTGTCTGTCTCTAAGTGTAGCCCTGTGATAGACTGGTTACCTGTCCAGGTGAACCTGCCTTCACCCTGAGTCAGCTGGGATAGACTCCAACCCCCCAGTGAGGATTAAGGTGTAGTCATTTTTTGTAGTCTCTAAAGATCTGTATCAGCATTATCCCTCAAAAAGTCCAGTTGGACTCTAAATTAAATATCCCTCAGCTTTGGGTTGCCTGAGTTCGCAACATCTCCAAACTCCACATGATTTACAAAGTCAACGTATTGATTAGTTGATCAACAGAACATTAAAATGTGTTTTATTTATAGTTTGTCTTTGTCAAGCAGAAGTACTAAAGTTTCTTTGATAATTTCTGTTTTGTTATCTTATGTGATTGTAATTAAAAAAAATCTTTGGCTTTTTGTGCATCAGTTAGTCTTCAGAAAGTTATGATTCACTATTTTCAGATGATTCATTGTGGAGAATATTCAGCTGAATAATTAATAATAATAATTGTTAAATTTAGGCCTCAGTCACTTTGGTTACAGACCAAAGACCAAACACATCATCTCCTCTGGTTTCCTGGATTTACATCTGACTCCTTGTTCCAGCTCAGAGTTTTATTTTCAGATCTTTACTGTAACCCGTCCAGCCCTCGTCGTGTCTGACGGTGTGTTTAAGAGCTGCTCTGTTCCTGCTGTGTTCCAGGTGCTGTTTCAGGCTCAGAAGGAAATGCTCGACTACAACGGCTCCGGCATCAGCGTTCTCGGTGAGTAACGAACACGAGTTTTCTCTGAAGGTGTCTCTGCTCACTGACACTGAAATTAAGAATAAACGTGAACCAGAATCACAGCAGGCGACTGGTTTCACTCTGGTTCAGGACCACCTGAGTGATGCTTTAAATCAGATCTCTGCTTTCTGTCCCTCTGAAACCTTCTACGTAGAGGAGCCAACATATAATCACATTATAATAAAGTGTAAGTATTTGTGAGTGACAGTGAAGCTAAATTTCATTATTTCTGATTGTGTCCAAACCAGAGATGAGCCACCGATCATCAGACTTCAGCAAAATCATCAACAAAACAGAGAACCTCCTGCGAGACTTGTTGTAAGTGACTCGTGTTCCTCCGTCAGCCTCCTGCTTCACACATCTTTAGTGTTAGCTGGTGTTTTATATGCATACGTCTGCTTCCTCCAGCCGTACTGGACCACTGCACCATCATAACATGACTAAACAACTGTAGAGTGTTTAGAGTGAAATCTGACAAAACAAGATGTTAAGTAAAGGAACAATATCGCCACAGTAATAATTAACTGTAGCTGCCTGAAAAGGGTTTAAGGTTACACTTTGCTAAACTAGTGTTTGTCATTAACTTAGGTGTGTTTCTCCACAGAGTTACTGAGAGCGAATGGATTGTGAAGGATTTTATCAATTTACATTGAACACCAGCTTAAGCAAACACAGGCTATCGTAGTACCTGTCGTACCTGCATGTGTACCTGTGAAACTGAGCTGAGATAAGATATATAAGATATTTGGTGGCGTATCGTAGCAGAGAAAGGGCCACATTCAAGACTGAGCATGCTCATACAATCAGAATGAACCAAATTAAATAGAATGTAATGTGAACTCGAGAGGCAGAAATAGTCAGAAAGAAAACAGCGAGCTAAGAGCAAAATGTTCTCATTACATTGATGTTTAAATGTGCTTTTGATGTTTATCTTTTTGCACGACAGTGTTCATGGAAGTCAGACCGGTCGAGCAAGACATTATGTGTGTATGTTTTCATCTTTAAAGCAACGTTATGCAGGCATTTTAATCTACCTTGTAAATAGTGTCAATAACATTTATTTTATAAACTAAGTGCACCTGATAGATTAACCGTGGATACACCAGATAACAGCTGCGTGACGTGTTACCTGCAGCCTCTATCTTTACTTACTTCTGTGAGTTTGCTGCTGCACACGACGATGTCTGCGTCTCATGCAGCGTCTGTTTTATTTTTGTCTTCACAGAAACATCCCAGACAACTACAAAGTCATGTTCCTGCAGGGCGGCGGCTCCGGACAGTTCAGCGCCGTTCCCCTCAACCTGATCGGCCTCAAGGGGGACCGGTGCGCCGATTACGTGGTGACCGGAACGTGGTCTTCGAAAGCGGCCAAAGAGGCGGAGAAATACGGCAAAGTCAACGTGGTCCACCCGAAGCTGGATAGTTACACGAGTAAGAGTGTGTGGATGGATGGATGGATGGATGGATGGATGGATGGATGGATGGATGGATG